GGTTCAGGCTTGCCATGATATGGTACAGTATAATTGTGATTTGTTTTAAATATTAATAAATAGCTTTTCTTTCAAAATTTGATTCTTTAGTAGATATAAACTATGTTTTTCTCTCTACCCTATCTCATTCAAGGCGTTTTTGGGTTCAGGTTCCTCCCGATGCAGTTGAGCCCTTGTTCAAACAAATAGTAAATCAATTTGTGCATGACCGTTCACGACCAGAGGTATTTTTGTTTTGGGTCTCACTATATTTTTATTTAGATGGCACTCAACTGACTATCTCAATGAATTTGATTGTTATTTTTAGGCAATTACGGTTGGAATAAATGCAGTCAGGGAGATATGCATGCGCATGCCGTTGGTAACTACTGCAATCTCATTATCCTTTGGACATCTGCATCTTACTGATTTATGTTTCCACAAAATGTATCATGTGCCACCGTTTAGGCTGGTTAACTAGTAAATTCAAACTATATAATTTGATTCCTACCGGTGAGCACCTTGTTTGCACCTTATTTAATAATAGGCTTGTGGCATGGACCTTGTAATGGGACCACCTCCTTTGATCCTAAACTTTTATAACCTGTATCCTGTGCTTTTGTTATGTTCCCAAACCCTTTTCCTTTGTGCTATTCTGATATTTTAATTTTGGACTGTAGTTAATGAATGAAGACTTACTACAAGACCTTGCGCTATATAAGAAGTCACGTGAGAAGGCAGTTTCAGTAGCAGCTCGATCTCTGATTGGGTTATTCAGAGAGGTGGTTATCCCTGGCTCCTTTATGAAGCGGTGTCTCCTAGTGTGCTTAAGAACAAGATCATGCTCAAACATCTTCCACAATATTTAATTAGTGTTGTTCATTTGCAGGTGTGCCCCTCACTCCTAGTTAAGAAAGACCGTGGCCGGCCTATTGACCCTAAGGCAAAACCAAAAGCCTTTGGGGAGGTCAATGTTGCATCTGATGTTCCTGGCGCTGAGTTATTGCATATTGTTGACAATGATGATGAACAAGACATGGGTCAATCTGATGATTCTGCATATAGCGTCTCTGACAATGACCAGGAAAATGATCTGATGAGTATAAATGATGATGACAGTGATAATGAGAACCAGTTATGCAGTGATGATACTGGAAGTGATGACGAAGCTGAAGATAATGATGTTATATCAGGAGATGAAGATGAAAATGAGGGAAGTTCAGACGAAATTGGTGTTAGTGATGATGATGATGACAACGATGACATTGAAAATAGTGAACAAGCTGATGAAGAAGATGATGTTTCAGAACATGAAGATGATGATGGGAATGTGAAGCTAAAAAATACATTGGAAGACTCGGGGAAAAAGAGGAAGTTTACTGATTTTAATGGTCAACTTATAGCTGCGGATACAAGTCTCCGAGCTTTGAAGAAATTGGCAGGTACAAAAATGGGGGATGTCCTACCAGAACCTGAAGATGGAATTCTTTCTAATGAAGATTTCCAGAGGATCAAAGAACTAAAGGTTTGTTTGGCTTACTATTCAGTAAGTTGAATTTCTAACATTTGTGGCTTTTTTGTCTGTCGAATTAATTTTTGTTATTTATATAGGCAAAAAGAGAGGCAAAAAATGCATTGGCTCAGCAAGGGCTAGGGAAGTCAGCAACAATTAAGGTTCCAAGCTCTGATCAACTAAGTCTTAAGCGAGTGGATGGTGCCATGCTTGAAGTAAGTATCTCAGTCTGCAATTCATACCAAGAGGAAGAAATACAAGCCTCTGATTAAACGAGATGCATTTCTTGATCTGATCTAAAAATTATTTGTTATACACGTCAGTAATGAAATTGATCCATTCATGTATGCAACTTGTAGGCTCATATAAGGAAAAAGTTGAACAAGGATGAGAGGTTGGCATTGGTTAGAGCAGGGAGGGAGGAAAGAGGAAAATATTATGCTCGAACTGCTGTAAAACAGAAAAAGGTATGTTAGTTGCTTTTTATTTTTTCAATCTTTGAACTGTTATGGAATTTTACTTTAATTGTAGACTCTGCATTCTACGGTCTTGATATAATATATATAGATTTGAGTGAATATGAAGTGGAAAGAACGAGTATATGATATAATGGAGGTGTATTGTTTGGTGTGAACAGACGGGTGGCCTAAGCAACCGACAAAAGGAACACAAGAAGAAAATGCCGTTGGCTGCAAAGAGAGATAAGGTAGCGAGAACTCGGATTGAGAAAAAGAGGAAAAATTCGCGATCTGGCAAACAGTTCCGGGGGAGGAAAGCGTGGAAGCAGTAAATATGTTGTTTTTATTTATTTTGAATGAGCCTAACCTCCCTTTTCTTTTCTTAAACTCATTTCCCTCCTCATCCATGGTTGCTTTTTATTCCTTATAATCAATTTTGTTACAGCGTTTCGTTTCTTTTCTCCCCCTTCATCGGAGAAATTGATTTGGCGATAATTACGCATTTGAGCAGGGCATTCAGGAAAATGATTTTAGCCTACCTTGACTTTACTCTTTTAAGGGTTATTTCTTTATTTTATTTTGTACGAATCACACCATTGTATTTGTTTGTTAAATTGAAAATTTCTTGTGTTTTTTTATTTACGCATTAAATAATTATCAGTATTAAAAAATTCTGTCCATCAATTAGAATAAATTTGTTAATTTAAGTACTTAACAATCTAAATATTTAGTTATTTTCATGTATATAATAAATTGATTAGTTGTTGAAAATCACCAAGTATTATAGAGAAAATTATCAATTAAAAAAGCTTTTTAAATTGATTAATCAGATATATCAATTTTGATTTGGTCATTATAAAATTAACATACTTATTATGTATAATAGTTTGGTTAAATACCAATGTTAAAATTATATTAAATGTTATATTTATGTAACATTTTATAAAATCAATATCTCTGCTAAACTTTTATATTGTTAGCAAGAAAAAAACGTTGAACATTACTTTAAATAATTATAATATAACTTTCATATTTGGTGTAAAAAAAATTATTATCAGCGATAAAAAGCAACAACATTATATAATTAATATAAAAGAACAAATTTTATATTATCATGGCAGTCTTTAATAACTATTATAAAAGAACAAATTTTACTATTTGTAGTTGAATTTGAATAATAATATAAATATCCGATAAAATCTATATATTCAAATTAAACTCGATGTAAAATAGCTCTTTTCTTGATAGAATAATTACATTAAAATTTGTAAAAATATAGACGACACGCACAATTTGTAATGGAACTCACTTAAGATCAATCGGTTCCCTTGTCCCATGATGATTAGCCATGTTCTGTGATTTACCTGGTGACAAAAAGGATGAGTGCAATTCTTTCTCATCTATTCTTTGATGATGAAACGACAAAGACATTTTACTCTCAGAACTTTAAATTACTTGGGAAGATTAATGACAAATGCCCAAAACGGGCAGCCAGAAAAGGAATGGACACTTTTTGGAAGGGATCTTTTTATAACTTACAACCTACAACCAAATTCACATTTAACAAAACATGAGATTTTTAAGGGCTGTGAAAAGGAAAACCAGTATTCAGTAGGATACAGTCTCTTCCGAACATGAAGGTAAATCGCAACTCTGTCCAAATATATCCGGGATTCCATCCCAATTATTCTTTTCTCTTGTTTCCCAATAGCCACCAGTATATCGATAACAACCATCCTCATCCTTCTTAAACCATCTCGGTTGCCATCCTCTTTCTTGCATTTTTCTTGCCTGAATTATGAATCAACCATAAGTTACAAGAATTTTCAATAAAAGCTTCTCATGTACTAAAAATCATGATTCTTAGGCACCCATAATTCTCCCAACAGATTGCTGATAAAATTAAACCAAACAAGTATGGGAGATCCAAGGAGACATGGAAAGTAAAAGGTGATTATTTGCGAACAAATGGCAACTATATCATGGTGGGGAAAATATAATACAAGGCTATGTAAAAATCGTCTCCAATACACTCTAGATTCAATGGAGCAAAAATTGAGAGTTGTGGGTGATTTACCTGTCTCTGCAACTGTTCAAGTCTTAGTTTCTCTGCATTTGCCAGCTCATACTCTCCATTCTCTAGATGTCTTTGATCTGGTCTCAACCTCGAGTCAGTTGGAGGCAACTTCTCTAATAGACCAGGTAATATTTCATTCAAGGAAATTGCAAAAGGAGAGAGGTTGTATCTTGTCTTGGATACATGGTTGTCCCTTTCCCACAATAATGCAGCTTCTGTCATCGGATCATAACCTTTTGGCTTGGTGGTTGGATCCCCAAGTACATAGTACATTGCTTCATCCCACTTCCCAATTAACATTGCTACCTTCTCTCCAGTTCTGTTGTCTTGAACAAACCCATGAACCTGTTAATATATGATTAACAGTTATCTCAGTCTTGAAACACTCGGAAGAAGAAAAGCAGATTGATCAATCCAAACTACTAAATAAACCTATTTTCTAATACACAAAATAGGCAAAACTTAAATTGAAATACATTTTTGCTCTGATAAAATAAAAGTAATATGAATTCTACTAGCCAAGGTAAATGTGCCAACTGAATTGGAAAGTGCGGCGGGTAAGAAAACCCTGCTAGATTTAGTTCTTAAGGATGACAACTGACAAGGTACTGCTTTATTTTCCACTTAATCACAAAGAACAAACAGAATTTTGATAGTGAATTGTTTAATGAAAAAGTTGGGGAGAAAAAAGGATAAAGTGATGTTATGAAAACATAATATAATTCAAGAAAATAAACTTTTACATTTTTTTAAATGTAAACAACAAACAATGATGCAGTATCTATGTCCTAGTTGCATTCATAATCCTACCTGATGTGGGTTTCTGTCTATAATAGATTGCTCCTTGAATTTTAGTTTGCAAGAATAATCGCCGCTGCCCTTGACGTGCATGGTACCATAGTGGTCACAATAAATTTTACCTAGTATGATATTGTATATGGAAGTGGTGACCTTGCTCCACTGAAATGTTTCACCATCATCAAACTGAAGAGTGAGGACACCCACAGGATCTAACTGGATTGATCGCCCCCAGAATTTTCCTTTCAAATTAGAATCTGCCCAAAACTTCCATCCCTTTCCTTCACAGTGACAAGCAACAATCATTGGATGATGACTAACCTGGAGCAAGCTTCTTGTTAGATAAAAATTAGAAGAATAAGATTAGAAACAAATCACACTTCCATTTTTCAGATTCAGTGACAAATAGTAACAATGAATCAACAAAATTACAAGTTTATTTATTGCTACATTTGCCACTTTGCCTGTAAATTTGACTCATACCCAACCTGATTGAAAAGTTAAAGGAAAATTCCAGTTACCTTTTCAGAAAAAAACCTAAGTCCTTTATCTGGATAGTCAGCTTCATAAGTCTCCCCAAGTAAAGGATTAAAAGGTTTACATTGTCGACCTTCAGTTGATGCATAGCTAGACACAGCAAAAGCTGCAATATTTAGAATTCTCATCAAATCATTCCCCTGCACAATGCAAAACATGATTTTCAAAAGCTGCAGAAATTGTTTAAGTTCTTTTAGGTTCAGTAGCAGTTTATAACCCCACATTATACATGCATATGGTTAATGTTTTTGCTTCTTTTTCATATCGATGCACTCTCCTGGGGATCTAATTACCCAACACAATGCAACAAAAGTATATTTTGCTTCTTACAAACCTATTCCACATGCTTGAGCTACTTGAAGGTATAAAATAAAAAAAATAAAAAATAAAAATCTAACGACAGGTAACTTTAACATGAGTATCTAGCAAGATGAATTGGCATTGTGAAATTTAAAGATCCAATTGTCCAAGCATTGTGGCTTATTTATAAGTTATGATTACAGGCCTAGTTGTAATATTCAAAATACTTTATTATATCATTAACTGAGCTTAATTTTCTTCATAAACCAATCAAGCCAAGAGTATAATTTGGATGGCACTGGTCGCAGCCAAGAAGCTAACCAATACCCATCCCATCTACAAATAACCCATAATTAACACATTTATACCATTAATTTACCTGAGAAAAATCCTAAACCACACCCATTAGTCCTAAATTCCTAATGTTATGGCTGTATAGCAGCTGAGGACAATTTTGAAACTATATTGAATGACATTTATTTTTATTTTTCTTATTGAAACTAAAGATTTTATGGGCAGTCAAAACCTACAACAAATACAGAACAAAAAAGTACTTTTCAGGCCTAAATACTAGATAGGATGAATTCCAACTATACTATCTTAGAACATGTTGATCAAGTGCAAACTATCAAGCTATTGAAGTGCTGAAATCTTTATAAGCAGCAATTTCCTAAAATTAACCAAGCATATTATCTACCTTGATAAAATGAACCTAGGAGATCATGCTTTTAAAACTGCTTTGTGACAAAAGAAAGCACAGCTGAGGACCTGACCTGCTTTCCCCACTCCAATGCTCTATCAACAAGGTATGAATACTCTAGGTCTTCAAAACACTTTTGCAATGAAGATAGTGGTTCATTAAAATAAACAGGGAGACAAACTCCAGAAAGATCCTTCCCAATATTGTCTTTAATAATCGACCACAAGCCAACAGGCTTCTCTTTTTCTTTTGGCTCTGGTAAGTTATCCCTTCTTTTGACATATGGATAACTTACATCTTTGATCTCCTTCTCAAACCCATGCACACCATCATAACAAATATAATCTCTATCATATATACTAGCATTGCCCATACCTTCTCTACCTCGATAGGAAGCACTTCTTAGGGCATCAGAATACAAAAACTCATTTGTGTCAAAATATGTTCTATCATCATCATCTGTTTCAACATCTGCTCCATCTTGACTTTCATTATCGGCCACTGAATCAGTAGCACTGCCCTCCGACATGACAGAATAGAAATCTGAGACATGAAGGGGTCAACAAGTAAGTGGACTGCCACTAAAATGAAAAACTTCTAACCAAAAGAACCAGTTTGTAAAACAGGATACAGTTACTTCATTAACCACCATTAATAAATGTTTTAAAAAAATGCTTTAGATGATCGGTAATTATTCAATCTCAGAATAACATTATCATAGAAATATCTGATTTTAATTAAAATATATGATCAGATTTAACACAACATTCCAAAATGACATTCGTATCGAGTATTGCCTACTTTGCAAGTACATATTATGATGGTAATTCAAGGCAAAAGACATGTAGTGGACATTAATACTCACCACTAAACCTTCTATTTCCTTGTCCACAATATGATTCACGTTCCTTTGTTTCATCCACAACAGTAGTTTCCAACTCTATTTTCTCTGTCTGCATGAATTATTTTTTTTAAGAGAAAATCAATCTCAACTTGCAAGAATTTTAGCATCTAAGCGTAAACATCCAACATTTCCATCATTAGGCTATTAATTCCTACAATTGTATTTAAAATCGTAAACCAGACAACTGAGACAAGAGCTACGAAAACTTTAAAACTGCTTCCAAGGTCAGGACATATAACCATTATTGTGTTAACTATCCATAATAAAAGTAAAGAATGTGTTTCAAAAGGAAAGACTGATACCTCTAGTTGTTTTAAGGTGTCCAGCAACATAACATGTTTCTGCTGAAGAAACTTCAACTTGCTTTGAAGATAAGAGACTTCAGAAAGCATAATAGACTCACAATCATTAATGATTGCTTCACTTATGCCTTCCTGTGACAATCGTGATCGCAGCTTCTCTGTTGAAACCACAATATCTTCTGAAGTTGCAAGATCGCTACTTGTCAGAGCTCTAGGAAAAAGATCTTTTGCAGACTGCAAGGCCTCAATCCACATGGCTCTGTCTTCTCTAGATACACACCGCAAGTGAAGAGTTTTTGTCCCAGTAAATATGGAAAGCCGCTTGTCATCAGACTTGCTGGAACGAACAGATGAAACCTGCGAACAAGACATGTTTAGACTTAAACACTCACTGGAGTAGACAGGACAACCAAGGAAAGCTGATATACCAATTAAAAATCCAACCATGGAGAATACACATACACATTTTAAAACAAATTTCAGAGTGGATGCTTGTTTGCACGCAAATGCAAATGTATGCGTCAGTTACAATGTGTGCGTCAATTGACATACAAACAATCAATGTCCTAGTTTTCTAACCAGGTAACCCTTTCCCCACACTCCCTTCTCGCAGATTTCCGGCATGTTTCGCCAAACAGCATGGAGAAACCCATAAAACTCCCTTCGTACGTACATTTCATGACTAAAGCGCATATTTAAACTTCGATGAAGTCTTCCCAAACGAAATCGTTAAAATACAATTTAAAACAAGAAAGCAAATAAAATAAAAATAAAAAACGGTTGCATGCTATGATATGATGTGATACACAAAACAGCAGGAAATTCATAAAGTACCAAAAAAAAGGGCATCTCAATATTTTAGTGCAAGTAATTGGGACCAGAAAAAAAAGGAGTGCAAAGAGCATAATCTATCATGGAGGTTACGGTTAAGGTAAGTGAAGCCAAACATATATACAAACTTTTGTCGGCATTTGATTAGAAGAACAACAAACCTTCAAATGTATCTCACCGAAGGGCTTGCATTGCTTGCCGTTGTTACTGTTACTGTTACCCCCAACTCCTCCGGAAGGTGCTCGATTCAGATTCAGATTCAGATTCCAATTCGCCTTCTTCACGTACTTCGACGACTCCTCTCCGATCACCCTCACGCTCCTATCCCTCGCCGGACTCATCAAGATCTTGTCCGGTCCGTGAATCTTGTAATACGAAAGCACGCCATCTTCCAGCACGAACCACCTCGACCTCCACCCCTTCCCGTAGTTCACCCACTTGTACAGTATCCCGGCCACGCTCCCGGCCACTCCGCCGCCGTTCCCGCCGCCGAACACCTTCGAATCGCGCGCCTCCTCCTCCTCCTCCAGATTCGCCGCCGCCGCGGCGGAATCCGCGCCGACCGACGACTCCTGCGTGGAGAAACTCGCCTTCGAGGCGCAGTTCACCGTCCTGACGGACGCATCGAGCCCTAACTGACACTGACTCGGCGATTTCGCCACGACCGAGTTCGGCCGGTCCCGATCGATCGAAACCGGAGCAATGCAGCACAGAGGATTCATCGTTTATGCAAACGATTCAATGAAAAACAACATAATCGATCGAGAACTGAGCGAAGACGAAACGAATCGCCGCCTGGATCCGATTCGGATCGAAACGCGATGGGAGATTGGAAATTGAAACGGAAACTGAAAGCGAAAGGAAGCGTGGTTTGGTGTAAATAGCATGAACGAACGCATAAAGGAGATTCAAATTTCAATAGTTTTGAAGTTAATGAGTGCGGTGTGATATAGATGGAAAGAGAGTGAGGTACAGTTGTTGTTGTGGTTGTGGCAGGCTATAAAGAGCTGAACCACTGGCCACACACATCCATTTATGGCACTAGTCAGTCAGTACATGCCACCAGTGTTGTGTTGTGTTGTGTTCTCTTCTCTTTACCCTCTCTCACTTCCACCAAAGTCCTCTTTTCTAAACTCTAACATGCTTCATAATAAATGCATGCCAAATGAGATCAAAAATCCTGCGTAAACTCTTTTAAGTTTCGCTCACTCTCCCTTTCATGAGAGAAAGAGTGAGGCTATGATTGTGTGAGGAGACAGCTAACGTGCGCACTTGTGCGCAGGAGGAGGGGGGGTGGGGGAGCCTGTGTCCGTTGGGTGAGGGGAAAACGCCTCCTTTTTTCTTTGGGCCAGGCCCATGGCCATGATGAGCAAGGGAGAATACTCAAATGACGATTTTACCCTTGCCTTCTCTTTCTGAAAGCGATGGGAACGAGGGTGCCCGGGTAATAACGCGTTACCGAAAGCGATTGTTGAACCATGGGGTAATATCCGTTGGGGTCAATTTGAGGTCCAACTTTTTGTGCTCGTAAAAAGATATACAGATCGTGATTCCTGATGCTGCATCATGCATCATGCATCATGCATCATGCATCATGCATCATGCATCATGCTATGTGCTATGCTGCTGAGACCTCGTGGCTAATGTCGTGTTTGGGTTTGTTCAATGGATAATACCCGATTATTCATGCAGCTTAGACATTGTTTTGCGTTGACCTGTCTGAAATTTAATAAGTGGCATTGGATTTAATGACCAAACAATGTACTATATTTCAATTAAATTCAATTGCTTTTTGGAACTTTGAATGCGCAATTGCTTTTGGGTGGGACCAGAGAGGGGCACCGGTGGATGGAGATTAAGAGGCCTTAATTGCTCCACCTCATGTCACTTACTCAACCAAACCTACTCATACTCATTGCTTTTGTGTATTTGTAGAATTTTTTACTCGAATAATATTTTTTTTAAAAAATATTACAAAAATGATCACTGTGCAGGATTATTTACCAAGATAGAACCATTTACTATTCAAGCTCAGAATTCGGTTCCCCGGAAACCGAATTCTGAGCATCAAAATGTAATTTTTTTTGTTTTTTCAACTCAGAATTCGGTCCTCGAGGAACCGAATTCTGAGTTAGTTTTAATTTTTTTTTTTTCGTGTATGGGGCAAATGTGGGCTGATGTGGGAAGCGGAACGGCCCGTTCCAAAAGCAGAACGGGCAGTTCTACTTAAAGAAACAAAGTGCAAATTCTGAATGTGAAACGGCCCGTTCTGCTTAAAGAATTTGCACTCTATTTCTTTAAGCAGAACGGCCCGTTCTGCTTTTGGAACGGGCCGTTCCGCTTCCCACATCAGCCCACATTTGCCCCATACATTAAAACCAACTCAGAATTCGGTTCCCCGGGAACCGAATTCTGAGTTGAAAAAACAAAAAAAATTACATTTTGATGCTCAGAATTCGGTTCCCTGGGAACCGAATTCTGAGCTTGAACAATAAATGGTTCTATCTTGGTAAATAATCCTGCATAGTGATCATTCTTGTAAATTTTTTTTAAAAAAATATTATTCCAGTAAAAAATTCGTATTTGTACCTTCTGACTGTTTTTTTATTGGAAAATGCTGTATCCTCCGAAAACGGAGGCCCAAAAATTGTCTGAATAATTAAAATTTTATTATTTTTTAATAAATTTATTATAAAATAATTATTTTTTAATAAATTTATTATAAAATAATATTTTTTTAATATTCGGAACGTTTTTCCGCTTCCATTTTCGGAGGGTGTAGCAATACTTTTTTTTATTACAAGACATTAGTTAATATTCAAGAGGAATGCACATGTATGGCAAAAATGATTATGAGAATGCATAGGGTTTGGTTAAAATGATTATGAGAATGCATAGGGTTTGGTTATAGTTTTGTTGCGATTATGCTTAAAAATAATAATAATTATGAGAAATGATAATAAAATAATATTATTTTTATCGCTGAGATTTTGTTAAATCTAACGTGAGATTATGACAAAATATATATTAGTTATTATAAACTTTAAATATAATTTATATGTTTAAAAATATTATTTATATAAATTTTAAATATAATTTATATAAAAATATATTCTTTGTTTTGATATATAATTTATTATAAATTTTAATTATATATAATAAATATTTAAATTACGTAATGCTTGTGCTAAGATTCTGGTATATTGTTTACAACTTATAAGAAATATTATTTTTTAGTTATATAAAAAAAAATCTAGTTATATTAACATTTTTATGTGTTTCTAATTATAATTACTCCTATTCTTTGGTAGTGCTTGGTATGTGGTAAACGATACATAAATGAAATGAGTTACGCTTTTACTCCTTCTTTTTTGAATTTTAAAATTAAAAAAAAAATGACATATTTTAGTTTCACTAAATAAGAACGAATAAAAAGTTATATTTTTTCCTCTCATTAAACATTGTCTTTAAAGGAAACACAAATAAATAATATATATATATATATATTTAAACACATCCTAGGGGAAAAAATGACAACTTAGTTGTACTAAATGTCTATATATTATTTTCTTTACACAGTGATAAAACTCTTATGCATAAAATTATGATGTAATTTTTAAAGGCACAATATTATATATGGTAAACGGTGATTTTTTATTTTAAAGCATATTGTTCCAGAATATTTTAAGTATTTGTTTTTTTTATAATTTATAAGTAGTATCTATCTTATTGTAATTAAGGTTGTCAAAATTGAGATTTTACATAAACTTGTGAAACTTTTATAAACTTACTCATAGGCTCAAATTATAAACGCGTAAAAGTTTACTTATTATAAAAAATAATATTAAAAAAATTATTGTTAGCATGTATACATATCATAATACACTTAATACAACAATAATTTAACATTTCAATTTCATAAAAGGTCAAAAGTACTAAACTAATTATTAAAATATGTAAATGAGTAATTTTATAAAAACATAGTTTACAAAAGTGAAATTATTTCCAAAAGAAGTTGATTTTCTCAAATCATTTGAGGCATAGTAAAATATTGTCACTGTTAAATCAATAGGAATAAAAGTTACATTTGATTTCAAACTTGTTGACTCATTTATTGACTCGAGAATTTATAAGAATTTATTTTAGAACTAGTTTATTTTCTCTATTTAAAATCGTAAATTCAAAAGAATTTAATAGTTAACTTGAGAGTTTGACAACCTTGATTGTAACATTTAAGTATAAAGTAATAATCACGTGTTGTCGAAATGCACTTTTTCAAAGTGTCAAGATATGCACTTTTTCAAAGTATCAAGATCTAACACATACATTTTTTTTTATTACTAAGACCCAAGTCATCCTTGGATTCACCTAGAAACTAATGAAGGATTTAGCAAATTTGTAGAGATCTAATGGATATTTGAACAATGATGCATGTTAGACCAACACTTGAAATATGAATAAATGTAACTCAAAATGCAAAATTCTCCTTGTCTCTCAATACTCAATTTGAGAAATCCTTTATACTTTAACCAAAAAATAAGTTGATTTCAATTTCAATTTAGTTTCAATTAAAAAACGTGTGCATGTATGATGAATATTTTATCACTAGATTGAGAATCTCTAATTCTACAAAAATTTACAATTTGTCGTATCAATTCTCAAAATCAATCACTATGCATTATCCTTTTTTTTTCAAATGATTTCTTCAACTAGATATAATTATGTGATTGCCAAATGCTTTCAAATTGATTATAAAACAAACTCTTGATACCCAATTTTGAGGAACGAAACTCTGTTGGGACATATTAGCATCAATCTCACATAAACTTGTTGAGCAATATTCACAAAAAAAATTGAGAAAATGAAAGAAAAAATTGTCTGCGGTAAGGAGTATGAAAGAATAATGTTACAACCCTTAAAAGATTAATAAGTTGATGATGATACCACAAATAATAAGGATTATTCAATAGAGATGTAAGTTCCATAAAAAGAATAAAAAGTAAACTAATTTTTTTTTCTTGATTGGCTTTATCTAGTTTAAAAAATGATCAAAAGTGTGATCTACGAGCTAATCATACAAACATAAGGCTCACTAGTCTCATTAAGCCCCCATTCAAACAAAATAAACTAACTACAATTAGTTAATACACGACAAGACATAATTAGGTCTACTAACTAAACATTATTAATTACAAAACAAAATGATGACAAGTACAAATCTATCTCTAGGCCAATAAATCTCTAACAAAATTAAAAGATCTTGATGAGCCAAAATATACAAAGGGTGATTCATTTCACCTGAAGTCACCTTCATCTTCCCTTGAAGCTTCCTCATTCTTTATCATCATGTGATAAGTTACCACTAAAAAACAATGCCCATCATCTAGGTTAAAGCTCATTAACAGACTCATATATCTCATTCACAACATATCTAAGTTATTTATGATTTTTATAAACTTAGTTAATATATCTCATAATCTATGATCGAATTTGTAAAAAACAAATAGTTATTTTAGTAATGATTTTTTATCTTTACATTTTAATAGATCATTGTACCATTCTTTGTACTTGTATAATGATTTATGCGTACATTTATTTAAAATTGTTTTGGTCTAAAGAACATACCATGGTTAATATAGTCACTCATCTAAAGACAACATCAAAAAAATGTATTATGTTTATCTTTACCCCAGGGTTGAAATTTTATACTTGAACGTTATGATTTCATGGGCTATGAGAATTTCATGATTTTTTTTATCTTTACCCATTTATCAGGTACTTTATTTTGATGTATGATCATGATTATTAAAGACAAGGTATTTTTTTTTCAAGATATAGGTCTTGAGTCAAATAAATGTCGACCTATTCTAGAAATATGATATGTGGGGTACTTGATTAAGTACTCGATTAGGCTCTCACACCTTTGTAAGTTCTATGATTTTCTAATACATCAATTATAGAAAATTAAAGGATCTTTGAAATTCATGATACTCACATAATAATAAGAAAGTGTGTACATTTCTCCATAGTAGAAAACTCCTTTGATCCTTAGAGTACTTTGATCTTTTTGAAGAGAACCAAGTTTTCACTCCCTTTGACTTTTCTTTCTACTCTCTATCTTTCGTGATGGCTAGGGTTTGAGAGAATACTGTCAGGGTGTGGACCTTGTCTCACATTAGTGGATATTTATAACCCCTAAAGATTGTTATTTCCATCAAATAACAATTATTCTCATAAATGCTCCATTAAACTCATTTATGGTTTAGTCTTTAATTATTTAATTATTTATTTATT